TAAAAATTACTAGTAGTGTGTGAGTTGGAATATATGTGTATGAGGATCAGTAATGTGTGTGAGGATCAGTATCACAGAAGAACTAGTATTATCACTTACGAAACACATACATGCTTTCACGCTAACAGTAATAAAGACTGAGGACATCATAGACTTCAAATCCTGATGGTCTAACTACCGAACTACGTTCAGAAGACAACCAACATAGAAGTCTCTTGCTCGTCCTGGCAGTCCTCTTTGCGAGCCTGGTTTGTGTAGTTGTCTTCAAGTATAAAGAGCTAACGTATGATAACATTTTGATTACTTCCTGGCATGTGAATATACTAATAGGCTTATCCAGTATTCATTCATTCATGTTGGCGAAAGAAAACGCACGTCCAGATTTACCAGGAGAGATGGCTGAATGCATCAACTGATGTCAATACAGTGCTACTGACTAGGTCCTAGGTTCGATACCCGACAGTGGCGAGATTTTCGAAACTAGCTTGCCAGCTAGATCGAATGCTCTCTTTGTCTGGAGGAGAATTCTAGAGGCCGGCTGCTGTGATCGTATAGTTTTCCGTGATTTCTCCGATCAACACCACCAGGGGAATGCCGGAACTACACCCCAACAAACGGGTTACGGCCCGTGCGCGATCATTCCTTCATCTTCCTTATCCTATCCTCACCCTTTACACACACTTACAGTAGCATGCCCTACACTACCATACATGACCCGCGATCGGGGGCGAGCTTAGAGCTTGTCCCAGCTCGGGCGGTGCTCTGCTGGTGGGATATACCTGGTTGGGAAAACCCCGATATTGAACGGTAGCTCAGCGCCAGATCTCGCCATTCATCGGAGTAAGATCATCGCCACCGTCCGAGGAAAAACATGCACTACAGTTATGGAACTGATAACCTCTGTAGTTGACACGCCCGGAATCACTAATAACCAACCAACCAACGTCCACATTTGCCTTTGTAAAAGTTATCGCTCAGCTGTTCTTCAAATCAAAAGAAAAAACTAATGTTTAAAAAATGGTATACCCCACATAAATATCTCCGTTTCTGCCAGAAAGTTTTGACATAGCTACAGACTGAAGTGAAAATTAATGAGAAGATACTGATATTCTTAATTTAGTAAGAGTATTTTTCAAGTTAATTCTCTTCATTATAGATTTATTCTATATATATATATATATATATATATATATATATATATATATATTCTATTTCTTCTATATTGTTTCATAAGTCAAAAATAAAGAAATTTAAAAAATCTTTGTTTAAATATTTCATAATTGTTTTATAAAGGAAATAAGTCCAAGGTATAAAATCGGTTCTCTATATCACGGAAATGCAAATTTAAAGTTAGTGAGTTCTCCAAGCAAACAATAATGATAATTTTTACAACTTTTATGATGAACAGAACTGTCCCAGATGCAAACTACATATTTTTAAGTGTTTTGTTTTTCTCAAAACAATGGAAAAAATATTTATTTCCCTTTTCGAATCACCAATTCAATTTTTCTCTAAGGAGTAGGAGAAGGTTAGAATAACGTTTTAGAAAATCTCATTTAGGCAAAACCTTGTCTCTGATTTTGAAAGTCATATGTACAATATTACATTAACATCAGAATAAAACTGTATATTTGTAGGGGGAAAATAAAAATATTCTTCTTTATGTAAGAGATAATGACAGTACGAAAAAAAGTACCCCAGTTCTGCTCGACAAAACACTCCACCTTTCAAAGAAAACCGCAACGACATCGGCGCAGCCGTTCCAGGGATCCCCGACAGACTGACCGGGCAGACGAAATACCGGAAAAATAATTGAATAGGTTTTTTTATGATCTAAATAAGCGTTTGAAATTTTAAAAATACTGGTATTTGTAAATCACAGATACTTTAATTTTGTTTCTTTAAAATACAATATTTCAATTTAACGATTAGAATGCTATTGGCTTGTATTGTGTTACTGACTGATCATATTCAAATTTCAATAAATTACTGTATCTCATTATTATTGTTATATGTTACGATTTTATTACTTTACTTACTACTATTTACTTACTTTTTACTATACTGACTGCTAAATTTTATTACTTCATGACTACGCTATCTATTTAATATTCATTGGGATACAATCCAAATTGTCTCATGTAACTTAAACGTGAATTATGGTCAAACATAATAATTAAAATTATTGTAAAAAATGTTATAAAATGTTATAAGTTGGTATTGACACAATACAAATTAAAATTATAAAAAACAGGACAATTTTAAATAGATCAAACATTTAACTAAAGATTTTTTGAAAAAAATGGGTCGTCTCCATGGCGTACATTTTACATCGTGATCGTATCTTAAACCACTTCCGACCCTTTAAAATTTGGTTATTAGAGGAAGTCTTTTATAAAGGAAAACTTTGGCATAATGACCTCAAGTTTCAAATACAAAAAGTTGGAAATGCTGAAATGAGAGAAAAATAAAAGGACCCGTTCGAAAGTTCCGCTCTTTGTAAATGCTAGTTTCAAAATTGAAAATAACTTCGTTCTTGTACCGAACTTCAATTCAACACCTACGAAAGTAAACCAGGATTTATTGGCATCGTTGACTAGTTATGCACGACCAGTGTAGATGACGAAGAGCATCACCTGATGTCACTGCAGCTCCTCTGCTCAGGAGGTCCTGGGATTTGATAGGATTTCGCTAGGAGCACAAAGACTTCTTTTTGTCATATTCTTTGCAGCACTGGAAATGAAGTTTTTTTTATTTTCATAATGCTGTTTGTAAAGCAAATCAGTCTATCAGTTAATGCTAGCATAATGTCACGGTTTGCGTTGGGTATTTTACTGCAGCAAGTTTAAAAAGACGTTTGGTCTTATTTAAAGAAAAAAAGAAACAAACTAATGGGCAGTATTTCATTTTATAATAAGTAAACAGACAAGTTCTACTGTGCTCTACTCCAGCTCTCTTAGAAGCGTAAAGGTCACGCATAAAGAACTTGGGATTCACAAGGTCACTGCAAGAGAAAAAAACTAAAAAGTGAAGAAAGTCCACAAACAGGAAATATATTTAGTTGATTTAAATGACATTCTCAAACAACTTGCGGGTGAAAATTGAATAATGTTCTTTCTTAATATTGACGTAAAAACGTAATTTTAAATTTGATACACTACAAGTTGTACTACGTGATTTGGCGAGAGTATAGTGTTTCAGCAAAAGGAAACATTCATTGTTAATATTTTTATTTTTTTCTTTGTTTTAATGTTTAATGTATGTTCATATCCATACTTAAAAACAACATTATAATTGTTATGTAAGGAAACTGACTGGCTTTCTAATAAATGTTGGTTTCCAGAATATTACTCATGTTCGATAAATTTACGTTCATATGCCAGCTTAATTGTCTTTTTACCGCCTGTCTTCTACCAATTGTAGAGTCAATTTCCCTCGAGAAGATCTCAGCAGACTTTGGAAGATATATTAAGAAGTGTCCTACAGTCTTTACCAATAGCTACGACGGGCTTCTCCATGATAGTTCACTCATTTTTTTAAGAATTGTAACTGCCTGTCTCTATGTTCGCGATGATTAAAAGCACGAACCGACTATTGTTGGACAGGCGGTGAGAGTTTGAAAACCGCCGTCCCTTGTATTTCGCATGCACACGTGTGTGTGTACCATATTTCTCAATTTTACTTACGTGTGTATATGTGGTAGAGGACCTCGCATTCTGCTGAACTTCGATGTAAAGAGTCCGCAAGTATTAGCTTTGTTCAGGATATGCAACATTCAATTAATCTGCCTGGGATGAAAATATCCTCATAAAAAGAACTATTGTTTTTATAATAGATGGTCGACCAAAAACCTTATTTTACTTGTTTGAGAAGAATATTGTCGTAGCAACCTCTCTTAGTTAATAGCGATACATATTTCTCAATATTATCTAAGTTTGTATTAACAGTTCATCAGAGTAGGTCGTGAAATTTCCTGCGGAAGGTCTCGAGTTCGCCATGTAGGAATATTCCTTATCTACATTTCATGAGTGTTGTTAGAAGGAGGTCCGGGTTCCGTTGAATTGTCATTCTAAAAGGCTGCATGCGTCTTAAGTTCAAGTTCAAGATAACCACCTTAGGAATGCAATGATCAACTATTGTAGGCTAAAGAAATTATCTTGAAATGAACTGCATCTTAAATACATTCTCTCTTTCTCTTCGTAGATTAGTGAACGTCATGTAATATGTCAGATTTATTACCACAAAATGTTAAGATTCGACAGAAAACAAAATATTTTCTTATAATATAACGTTTAATGTCAATGTTAATTGTCTTAATTGTATTGAGGATCGTATCACAATCTGTCAAAAATCTCTCTCAGTAAACGAATCAAACTTGCATCAATAATAGCTCGCAAAGCACAATGTTTTAGAAATCAAAAGTTATTATATATAAAAATAATTTTCTTATGGAAATTACACTAAATATTTTTATTTTCAAAAATCTGTTATATGAATATTAGATGTGCAGTCTTCAAAGTATACTGTCATTAAAACTCTGCAATGATAAACACTCCGAAGTAGTCTTAACAGTTTTTAAACTCAGATCGTCTTGGAGTTTGACAGTATTTATATTGCCTGTCAGTGATTGTAATGAAAAATTTCAATATTAAAATACTAATATTGACGATTTAGCATTTTTGAGAGATATCATTTTGATTCAATTGAGCGCGAAAATTATGATGAGATTTTCAGAAATGCAATGCATAATTTAAAGCCCGTCAAGCCTGCTGCAGTTCCTTAATTGAGAACACAAAATGAGAATGAAGAATATATGTTATTTGTTGTTGGTGAGCCCTAGTAAATATCAGTATTACAAAAATAACGAGAAACAATAAAAGAATTAAAGACTCCCGAAATGTTCTAATCCATCAAAATTCTTATACCGTATTTTCGCACAACTGCCATTCTTTCTCTTTACCAATCAAGAAATAAAGAGCGTTAAAACAGGCCGAACTCACCTGGTTCCGGTTGTCGCGGTCCGCCTGAGTCGCGTTTTGAAACGCCACGCAGAGCTTTTGTTCCTGGTCGAGCTGCTCGTGGCGCTTGCAACACTTGTTGATCAGCAGGCGCTGGGGAGGCGCGGACGTGGAAACGATGGGCGCCGGCGCCGACGGGCACGCCGCACCTGCACTCGAAACCCCTTCCGCCGTTCTCTCCTCGGTCGAGACTCCATCCGCCGTCTCTGTCTCCGCCGCCGTCGCTGTTACCGCTTTCTCTGTCTCCGCGGCCGTCGCGGCTACCACAGTAGCAACAGCGACTGCCAAGAGGGCCCCGACCCAAGCTGTCATCTTCACTCGGCGGGCTGTTGACGTCTGCAGCAGTGCCGTGCCGTCGGGTCCTCTCCGCTTTAAACAACCGCAGATGTTTTATACAGCCCGTCGCGGGTGACGCACCCAGCCACAGAAACGCTGCATCCGTTCATATATGCTTACGAATCACTCCGCAACAAAAAAGGATTGGAAGCACTAAAGCACTACACAAAAAATGGAGGAATTTTCATTTCATGTCTATTTTCAGCGTTGAGCGCTATTAAGCTTTGTGGAGAAACTCCACTGCATGTTGTCATATCTCTTCAGCTTCACTGTACTGTAACAAAATGAAATAATATTTTTACAATTTCGAGCGATACTTATGCAATTAAAAAGTGCTTATTTGGTATTTATTTGTTACGTATTTGTCTCGAATTACATTGAATGTACAGAAAACACTACTAAGTAATCAATATCTGTTAATGAATAACATTGAAAGTAAAATGGTATTCGCTCGTGGTCTACAAGTCCCAACTTAGCCACCGCCACTCCACATCCGGCGATAGCGCGCCTCATACCGAGTGACGCCAGCCTTCCGCCAAACCACCGCTCTTCCTCTTTACTGCACAGAGAGCAGTGAGCAGGGAGAAATTAATTCTGTTTATGAATTGGGGAGGAGCATTTCTGTTTTGTTTATTTGAAATAAGAGGTCCTCCTTCGATCAACTGCCCAGGTCCTTGATTTTCTCTGGGCAACCCTTCTTACATCCACATCTGTGAATACACCGATACATGTGTACATTTTTCCTATTCATTTTTTTTCACTGCATCTGATTTTACATATCCTCGTAGGGGAAGACGAAAAGAATGCCTCTGAAGGAAAAACGACTTCAAGTGTGCAATTCATCCTAGAACCTGAACTACCTAAACTTTTGATATTTAATAGGACGTTTCGGTCACAATACTTTCTTCCGCATGAAATATATCAAATTATAAAGCCTCTTCTCTCATCGTATCTGCTCTTTTCGCCTTGTTCAACTTTCCATTTTTTCACTTCACTGGCAATGAAAAAGTAATATTTTTCTATCTTATCATCGACACTTTTCTAATCGAAGTGTGCCATTTTTGCCAATATCACATGAACGAAATATGGTATTAAACATGTGTCCGCATTGCAATTGCGTGACCGAACTAACCTAAATTACAGAATAGATACGTACTTTTCAATGTGACGAGAGAAAATTACATTTAAAAAAATAGTAATTCTATTTTTGGTGGGCAATTTTATCTTGATTTAAATAAATTGTCATTGCAATAAAAATTTTAGGAATATACAGCAGGTCAAGTAAATGATCGAGTAACATATCAATACATGCCTTGAACTTTTTACCTGAATGTAATAGCCAGAAAAGCCAGAAAAGCCAATAAAAGTCAGAAAACCCCCCGCGCGGACAAGGTAATAACCGGCTATCTGAAAATGGTGGTAGAACACAGAATGTAGGAAAATAGTGATAGACCTCTCACACGTCTTCAACAAAATCCTAGAAAATGAAAAAACTCCAGAACAATGGCAGAGCAGCTAATCATCTTATAACATAAAGAAAAGATAGGACAGAATTAAATAATTATAAACCAATAAGTTTAATATCATACATCTACAAAATATTTTTCTAAATTAATAACAAAG